TTGTTTATTTAAAATGTTACAGTATTTAAATTGTTTATTTAAGGAGGGAGATTGGGAGTAACAGGAGTGTGATTGCAGCGTGGCACATGTCATGACAAAGTTTATTGAACTTGAACTGAACTTGAACTTGGACTACTGTATCCATACATCGCGGTTTTTCACAGATTGCAGGTGGGCGTGGTTACAAACTCCCGTGATAAACAATGGACCATAAGTCACACCTTTTGCATAAATTAGCATTCCCTTTGATTTATACTGCGAAGCGACTTATGTTTTTTTTTCTCATATTTATAATATAACCCAATTTTTGGCTGAAATCTGACAATTTCATTCATTCAGACATGGAAATTATTGAACACTACCATTTTCATCCGCTAGAGGGCACTCAAATTATTTGGCAAGCCAAGTGTCTCATTAATAGGGAAAAGTGGCTATTAATGAGACACTTGGCTTGCCATACAAAGCCACCTTCTTCTTGCTCCAGAACTCCTTGAGCAAACCTCAAATCAGCTGCATTTTGCCGCACTGCCCAGGTGAAATGCAGCTGATTTGACCATTTACGTGGATTTATTAAGGAAAAGTTCAACTGAGACACACTGTTATAATGTCGAGCAAAGAAATAAATGATTTTAGGTGCTTATTGTGTTAAATTTGGAAGTAATACACAGCGAGTCTTCCCTCTGCACGCTCCCGCAGCTGCAAATCGGCTTCTGAAATGCAGCTGAAATTTCGAGCAAACAAAAAATTGTTTTTAATTGGTAAACTTGTTAAATTCTTGTTAAAGTCCTCCCGTGCACGCTCCCACGACCGCCATTTAGCAGCCAATTGTTTTTTTGGCACACCGGCCCACATTTCCTGGTTGTCAGCGGTGACGTATAATTGATGCGACTTATACAGTGAAGCGACGTATTTATGTTTTTTTCAACTTTATTACACGTATTTGGACTGATGCTCCTTATATGGCGGTGTCTTTTTTTTCCTATTAAAAAAAAATCACATCTGATATTACTAAAACATGTTTTAAAATCACTTTTTTTCAGAGGTAATTTATGTTACTCAGTTTTTTACAAACTGATTGTTAAAAAAGATCCGGTTTCTTTGTCTCATGCTTGTCTTTCGCTTCTCTTGGTCATTCGGTCTGGTTGTCGGTTTTTCTCTGCAGTTTCTCCGTAGAACTCATTCCCTACTCAGAAGTGATTTTCAACTCGGCAGGCGAACCCTGTGTGTCAGAAACTCTGTCCAAAGAATTAGAAAGCAAGATGGCCACCGTGCAAGGATGAGCATTTCAAATGAACTCAAAAACCAAGCTTTTTTTTTAACACACACACACACATTGTGCAGTCATGTTGGACAGGCTATGATTCTGCCCTGCAGAACTTTAAAAGTGCACACTTTTACAATGCTTTGCTTTTTTTTTCTCTTTTTGATGGAGATAGAAGAGCAAAAGATGAAAAGCATATTTAATGTGTATGGTGGTGCTTGTCTTAACAGCCTTCACAGTGCAGAGACAATATTAAACAAGTTAATATTTAATGAACAACCTCTTTGTATGAGGGCGAAGTAGTGTGAGGCGCTAGTGTTGGCAAAGGAAAAACAAACGAAGCTCTTTCAGACGGTTGTAGGGAGAAAGGCTTTGCTTTTAGCACTTGTGTCTACAACTGCATCTGAGGTCTACAACACTGTGTTTGACTGCTCTCTCTACGAAGAGTGCATTTCAGGATCTTACTACCACTTTTAAAATGCAACAGTGGTGACACTGAAATGACTATAGTTAGATGATCACTGTGTAATGTAGGTGTAGCACAGCTGTGAGATGTTGTATGTCTGTTTGTTGCTTTTAATGAGCTGTCCGTCTCCAGATGAGCTGGACAACAGAGCTTGGAAGCTGACGAACATCATATTGGTTCATCTGTATGTGAGGAGCATGGAAGACTTTGCTGCTCTTAATGCCGTCTACAAAAGGCACTTCGACACAAACCCTCCAGCCAGGTATAGGTGCAGACACATGCACAAGTCTACTCGAGTTTTTCTTCGTTCTGTTCAAACTTGCTCTTTATCTTGTTCATTTTCATTCTATGTCTGAGTTGGTGTCAGTGCAGCATTTATTGGGTTTCCTTTTGTATTTGTGCAGGGTTTGTGTTCAGGCACCTCTCCCTGCTGGTCAGCTGCTGCAGATGGACTGTCTGCTCCATGACTGGATCGAGCCCCTGGAGGAAGGCTGCTTCCACCAGAAGGAAGCTCTGCATGTCCAGAGCCTGTCCCACTGGGCTCCGGCTAACATTGGACCATACAGCCAAGCCCTCAGGGTAAGCCTCACAAACTCCACCAGGGAAACAGGTAGCAAGGCTGGCACATTTAATGTGCTGACAACAAAGGAAACGGTTTGCTTAAATAAATGGAATATTTCATGAATAGCATTGAATTAATTATCTTTTTTTAAATTTTTAAAATCTTTTATTTTATTTTATTATATCCATCCATCCATTATCTTTTACCCGCTTCTTCCATTTTGGGTCACGGGGGTCGCCGGTGCCCATGTCCAGCAATCACTGTGTGAGGGGCGGGGTACACCCCGGACATGTCTCCAGTCCATCACAGGGACACATAGAGACAAACGAGACAAACAACCATTCACTCTCTCACTCACACCTAGGGACAATTTAGAGTTACCAATCAGCCTAACATGCACGTTTTTGGTCTGTGGGAGGAAATCGGAGTACCCGGGGAAAACCCACGCATGCACGGAGAGAACATGCAAACTCCACCCAGAAAGGCTCCCAGACTGGGATTTGAACCAGGGACCTGCTCGCTGAGAGGCAGCAGCTCTACCAGTTGCGCCACCGTGCTGCCCTTATTTTATTATACAGTGTATATTTTTATGTTAAAACAAAACAAATAACCAATGTACTGTCATATTTGTGAGGCTGAGGCACTATTTCTTTTTATTATTATTTATTTACCTTTGATCATTTTAGCTTTGCTATCTAATTTAATAATGTTGATAGGGCCCAATAGTTATTTCCATTTTTTATACTGTATTGTCATTTTTTTGTTTGTTATTTTTGTTCCTGTTATTTCTGTGCACATACACATGCTCGGTCCTAAATTCAGGAACGTAGAGTTGAGGGCCAGACATCAGCAGCTTTAGCACAGCTGCAACGCAAGATGAAACATCCAGAAATATTTTCTTCAAGAGGAGTGTAAGAAATGGATACATTTTTTGAACAGCGTGTTATTTAGTTTGATGTTTTTATTATTCATTATTTCTGCCAAATAATCCCACTTGCATCTGACCTTCGTGACGTGTCGCTTCACTAAGGACATTTCAGTGTGACAGCTTACATGCTTCATTGTATACCTTTATTTTCACATAGAAATATCTTATAGATTTGTCCCGATCAGTGATAAATACGTGTACAGTAGTCCATCATTTATTGTGGGGGTTACGTTCTGGACCCCCACCCCTTCCCCCGCAATACGTGAAAACCCGCAAAGTAGCAACGTTATAATTATTTTAGCTTTTATATATATTTTATGGCTTTATAAACCCTTCCCACACTCTCGTAATGTTGTAAACTCTTAAGCCTACATTATTTTAACAACATACAGATATGTACTGCGCAACAGCTACTGCAAAAGTTTACATGAGTACTCACCAGCTCAGTTCTGGTCAGGCTCGGTTCTGTTCGGTTACCCTGCAGCATGATCGAAGCCCATCCCGTTCAGGTTGATGAGCACATGCCACTTCAGGAAGGACACTCCGCGCACAAGGTTGCCCAGGATTTAGTCCACCACCTATGGCCCGATCTGGACCAGCACTGCATGACCAGAACCAGGCTGAACCCCGCAGCCGTTGCAGCTCCCAGGATCCGGGTCACACTGAGTCCAGATCATGTGCGGCCCAGCTACTCAGCACTGAAGATACACCTTGAAGGATAAGTTCAGCTTCAGGATTATTTACAACTTTCCTGTCAGTCCTGTGAGCTGATCTTTACAGAACTTCTGACTTTGCTGCAAAACTTTCCCTCCATTTACAGCAAGCAGCGGCTGGAAACAAGTGTTGACTTCTGGGTAACGTAGTTCTTTTGACTGGCAAAATAGTGTAAGCTTAGTGAGAGAAAACTACAAAATGACACGTTTTTTGTTGTGCACTCTTTACAGTACTGTATGGTATAGTAGTCCCTCGCCACTTCGCAGTTCGTTTATCGCGGACTTGCTCTATCGCGGTTTTTCAAAATAAGATTGGACTTGGACATGACACACAACTGGCTGATTGATGGATGAGCCGTACGATCGGCATGGAATTTTTATTTAAAATCAATTATTTTAAAATATTTAGCACCTGCTGCACCTTTGTGCAGCCCAGAGCTACGGAAAAAGCTGCTCCTGCACCTTTGTGCAGCCTTTACTGCAGGATAAACTTCCTGCTGCAGCTGATCAACTGTTCGCATGCAGAGCTGAGAAGTGGGCGTGGCCAAGAGTGCTTGCAGGTGGCAAAGAGCAGAGGAGGCAGGGAGCTGAAATCATGACATTCTGTGCTCTTTTAGAGCATTTAGAGTTTAAAAACATTGTTTAGAATACTGCAAGAGTGTGGGAAGGGTTTAAAATGCCTTAATATATAAATACTAAAATAAACTACCACTTACTACTTGTACTACTATTCCAACTTAGCGGTTTTTCACTTATCGCGGCTCTTCAGAGTACGGATCTCTCGCGATACACGAGAGACTTCTGTACTTTGAAAAACCACGGAAGAGCAAGTCCGCAAAAGTCGAACCGTGAAGTATTGAGGGACTGCTGTATATGCATATAATTGTGTTTTAAGTAATATAATATTCTCATGACTGCTTTTATTTTTCCACTCAAATATGCATTCTTTTTATAGTTCTGCATCTACTTTTGTACTTGTTTGTATAGCACCATCTTGAGTGTCTTTCACATTGTTTCAAACCTTGAAAGAATGTCAAATTCAAAGGCAGAGCAGAGGAAGTGTGGGCCGTGGTTGCACGGTTGGCTTGGTGTTGTGTTTACCCAGTGTGTATTATATAGGATTACACTTGTCAAGGTACTGTCAACAAGGATAGTGTCCATCTCCTCCACACTGTCCTTGATCCTCCAGCCAAATCCAACTATGAGTGAGAACATGTGTGGATTAGCCGTTTGCTCAGAGCTTGACGGCATATCTCAGCAGTGTGTCACTGAAGTTCAGTTTGGATCCTTGAAATGTAACCTGCAGACTCAGACAGTTTGTTTTCAGTCTGCAACGGTGTTTGATTTCCTCAATGAAGCCTCATTGAGACATGAAATTTAAATCTGCTGTGTGTTAGTGATTTTGCCTCAAAAAAAAAAAAAAGAGTCTAATCTCTCATTCCTCTAATTGTCATTCATATTCATAGAAATTTGAGAAAACAATGAAGGGAGTTTGCTTGCATGGCACTTCATACGTCCCCAGCACGGTCTCTCTCAATACGTCTCCTCCTCCACGCAACAATGGCTTAATTTGATCAAAACTATATTAACAATTCTTCAGCACAGCTAGAGAGTTTTTACATATTGATACAATTACCCCCTTGCTGTGAGAAAGCATGCAAATCCCCCCACCCGACCCCCCATCACTGCCACGTTGTCTCCATCTTAATGACATTTTTCTTTGGTGACTGCCGTGTGACACCACAGAGACAAGGACTGAGGCAATCGGAGTGAGAGAAAAAAATGTCTGAGACGAAACAGCATTGTTGAAAATAATTAGTGAATTAAAGATGGTTTCAAATGTACCAAAGATTCAATTCCTTTTCCAGAGTGTACTGAGTTCTGCACCGGTGCTTTTCACATGATGACTGTAAAGCAGTTACTGGTAGCTAGACATGAAACTGAACAGCTGAAACTAGGCCTTTAGCGATAATAAATCAATTAATCGCATAATAAATGAAAATTATCGACCTCATTTTCATTTATCGGCTTTATCGTTTCGTGTCTCTCTCTTTCTGAAGACACTGGATGAGAAACGTCTCGACTCCAGTGCTCTTCAGTGACCTCTCCCTTTCTCTTTTCTCTTTAAAATCTGTTTTAACCGTCCACAATCGCGTTTTTGGATCGTTAAAAGCAGCTAATCTGAGAAGCTAAGCTACGAGCTAAACTAACAGGCAGACCTCGGGAAAAACCTTCGTCTTGTTGAAGCTCCAAAATTCACAGTTGAAACCCGTGCCTTCGTGTAAAAAGTTGTTTTTTCTGCAAAAGAAGCTGAGAACTTGTTTACTGATTTTTTTTTTATTAAAAACTTTGTGTGACAAATGCTATGCTAAAGAGCTCAAACCACACCGAGCGTCCGCCATTTTGAAAACCGAAAAACAAGAATGAGAGACAGCCCATGTCACGTCAAGGGGCCTCCCTCCCATTTTTCTTAAAGAAACCTGCTACTCGCTCCCTCACTATCCATCCTTCAGTTCCAACAGTCTTATACTGCCATCTAGTGGTTAAAAAAAGGTACTACACACAAAAATTAACCAACATTTCTTCTTATATTTGACAATAATTACAAATTATTGTCAAATTTCGAACAATATTATCGTTTATCGCAATAATTTCTGAGACAATCTCCCAGCAGAATTTGTTATTATGACAGGCGTAGCTGAAACTTCAAGTTCCATCATAGAGTTCTGGTTAATTGTTTACTTTGTTGTCTGCCAGCCAGGTAGAAATTAGAAATGCTAACCAGTCATTTGTTTAGTTCAGTTAAGCTATGAGCACAATGTTTATTGTCCAGTTGCATCCAGGCTAGTTTATTTGTTTGTGTTCAATGATTTGAGAGACAGCACATGGCCAGTGACAGAAAATGGCCTTACAGAACATAACGGCTGTAGGTCTCCACATGTAGGGCTGCTGCCGAGGAACTGCTTATTGGACTGGCATGTGATGGATGCTGGACTTTCAAACTCCATCCATCTATTCGTCTGTCTGCTTGGCTTGTCACGTCTCTCAGTGTCAGCTCTCGGAAATGGCAAGCTGACTGAATGTCTACTTGCTCTGGCAAGATGACAGATTCAGATCTGACTTGATTTAGAGAATTAGTTAACCTTTTTAATGTCAAAGCTGGGGGGCTCTTGATGTATTGTATTTTGATATATAATCCTGCTTCGCTTTAGTTTAAAGCCTCAGGCTACAAAGAAAAAGGCTGTTATTTAATTTTTGCTTTGTTTTTTGCTTTGTCATGTTTTTTTTTTTTTTTTGCTTGATTGACATGTGCTTAGAAGCTGCGCTATAATAAGTATTTCAGCATAATTGTATCAGATTATTTGTTGGTGTGGAA